GCCGGCCCCTGGAGCTGCACCTGGGCACAAAGAGAGAGACAGTTAGAGAAGCCATCGGTCCTGTGACTGAAAAGAAAGGGCTTCTTAGAGCGATAGGGGTGGTTGGCGAATTGCTATGGTGATACTTTAGGGATTTATAGCATCTATAGATGTAAAAACCATTCAGTCATCACAAACACCCCTCTGGACCAGGCGGGAAGTGTATTTGAATATATTTAATTATTATTATTGATTTCAGAGAGAGAGAGAGAGATCAGTGATGAGAGAGAATCATTGATCATCTGCCTCTTGCACACCTCCCACTGGGAATTGAGCCCGCAACCCAGGCATATGCCCTGAACGGGAATCAAACCGTGACCTCCTGGTTCATAGGTTGATGCTCAACCACTGAGCCACACCAGCAGGCTCCAGCAATGTCTTTTGGAGGGTAGAATTTCTTAATCTTTGCCCTTAGCTCTGTTGGATTTTTTGGGCTTCTTCTTTCTTGGTTTTTTAAGAGCTCTTATCAGTGATGTAATTGTAGATATTTCCTTCTTGTTTTGATGTTTATCTTTCACTCTGCCTATGGGTAGTTCTTCAGAAGTGTATTCAGATTCCTCAATTTTTTTTCCTTTTATCACCCCTAGTTCTGAGTCATAGAAAGAACCTCCCCACACTCAGGTTATAGGCACACATGTACTTTCTGACCTAACTTGTACGGCTTGGTTCCTACATTTATATCTCGATCTGTGTGGGGTTATTTGGGAGCAGGGGTTGCAGCATGGATCCAATTTAAATGTTTTTCTTAAAAGCTTCCCAGTTGTCCCAACACCACTTGTTGAAAAAACTCTTTTTTTGGAGAGGTTTGAGAGGCCCCTTCATCAGATGCTGTGTTTCTAGCTCTTCTTTTGGTCTGTTTGTCGATCTATTCATGGACCAGTACCTGCTTTTTTTGTTTTAATTACAGCTGACATTCAATATTATTTTATTAGTTTCAGGTATACAGCATAGTGGTTAGACATTTACATAATTTCACAAAGTGATCCCCCAATAATTCTGGCACCCACCTAGCACCATTCATCTTTATTACAATATTATTGATGAGATGTGCTATGCTGTACTTTACATACCTGTGACTAATTTGCAGCTACCAATCTGTACCTCTTAATCACAGTACCATGCTGTTTTAACTGTGGAGGCATCACACACCTTGTAATATCTGGTGGATCTAGTTCAGAGTTCTTCCAGAAGTCTTTGCATATTTATTTTTCTGTGTGGACTTTCGAATCATCTTGTCCAGATCCAGAAACAAATGATGCTTTTATTGAGATACTTTTCAACATTAATATGTTAACCAGGGAAGAATTGACATCTTCATGAGGTCGAGTTGTCCTGTCCAAGAGCAAGGGCTGTCTTTTCTTTGGTCCAAGTGTGTTTTGTATCTTCATGCATGTTTTGGTTTTTCACACCAGCCAACCCGCTCCCCCAGCTGTGACTACAGGTCTAGGTGGTCCTCGAACTCGAAGGCTCAGAGAGGCTTTATCGCCACCATGTTTAAATAGATTCTCTGCTGAAGACAAGACAGGCGATCCTGTGGGTGACACGCTTCCTCCCTCTTGTACCCGGAAACGTGAGCGGGACCCTAGAGTCACAGAGAGCACTCAAAGGTCCAGAGGGCTAGTGGCGTCACTAGAACGGGATGAGCGAGGCCAGGTTGGATAGCCAGGCTGAATGTCAGAGCTCGCTCCAGCACATTCCCTGGTCATCGCTGCATGCCTTGTTCCTCCACCTCCCTCCCCTGAAAAGCAATTAGGCCTCCCATTCTGGCTCCTCAAACTTTCTATCTCCCTGCAAAGCTGCACCATCAGCCATAGCTGGTAGAAAGAGGTCAGGTATTCACTCCCTGGCCCCACCCCCAGCTTCATCAGGTCCGTTCAGGCAGTTTCAGCAAATAAGAATGTTCAGAGAACGGTCTGGTTAACCAGTGTCTCATCTTTTCCCCAGGTTTCTACAAGACCGAAATAGCTCAGCTTTCAAATTCTATCGAAAGAAGGTATTTGAACTGTGCCCATCGATTTGTTTTTCATCACCTTCGCTGAACCTCCATGCCAGCGAGAGTGCCCTTGAGTCTGTGGAAGGGGAAGGAGAGCTTGTGAACGAACCTCCTCACCAGGAGGTTGAGCTGGAGAGCCTAGAGGTGATGCCTGAGGAGGAGGAGGAGGAGGAAGAGGAAGAGGAAGAGGAGGAGGAGGAAGATGAGGAGGAGGAGAGGAGGAGGGCCCTCGCTCCTGGAGGGCCCTCCAGGGCTCCAGGAGAGGCTGCCACTTCCGAGGGCTCTGAGGGCAGCCCCCCCACTGATGGCCTTCCAAGCGAGGCAGCCGAGGATGGCCCTGCTGGCACGTCTGCCCTGTCGCAGGCCTGCTTTCCCCGGAAGAGGGTCAGCAGCAAGTCATTGAAGGTTGGCATGATTCCGGCTCCCAAGAGGCTCTGTCTCATCCAAGAGCCCAAAGGTGAGTGCCAGCATCGGCGCAGAGCCCTGCATAGTCTTCTGCTTAGCACCTGAAGAGGACTTAGTGGTACTTGGTTGTAGAACGAGAGAGACATTGCCTGCCTGTTAACCAGCTGGCCCCTCTTACCTTCCCACCTCTGATTCCACCCGCGTACCTGGACATTACCTCCCAAATCCTCCTCAACATAGGGTTCTTTGGTTTTGTGTTTTTTACCCTAAAACAGCCCTAGTAGTTTTGTGTGCCACTGCCAATGTGTGTGTGAAGCTCACTTTCCCAGTTGGTCTAATGATAGCGCTCTAAAGAGACTGCCGCGTAGGCTTTGGCTTCTGGCATCCCACATATTGCTCAGGGCCTCCCTTAGTGCTCAGATTCCAGCAGGTTAGCCCTGGCTGTGGAGGAACTGGCCTGGGTCATCTCAGCCGTTTCTTACCCATGGCCTTGGGGGAAGGAGGGGTACCCAGCCTTCTGAGCCAAGGAAGGCCTGGGGTAGTGACACTTGCTTTGTGACCGTGAGGTGGGAGGACATGGGGCGGGGCTGGTCTCATGCATCCATTAGCAGGAGCCATGTGCTCTGTGGAGGTCTCCTCCTGCTCTCCTGTGTTAAGTTTCTTGAGGTACAATTTGCCAGCAACAAAATGTATCTCTTTGAAGTGGACAGTTTGAGGAGTTTGGGTAAGTGTGTATAGGCATGAACCCACCAGGATAGTTGAGCTGGAGCCTGTCCCCAGAAAGTGTCTACAGCCCCCTCTCCTACCCAGCCCCCAGCAGCCACTGACTGTTTTCTGGCCTTTTATTATTTGTGGCCTTTTGATGTGCTGGTCATGGCCCAGGCTGCTCCTCATGGCCCTCCCCACCCAACTGTCCACACAGCCAAGCCTGGGCTGTGCTTCAAGTGTGGGACTGATGCTGCGATGCTTGCGTGTAAGGTGGCGGTGGTGGTAAACAGTGCCCCGTCATTTGTCACCTGTGTTGTTCTGTGTTATTGAGACATTTACCCCCAGCAGTGTTAATATAGTTTCCCACTAACAGAACAGTCCCGTGGTTTGTGTTTGTTAACTTTGGCATTGCAATGGATTGCTAGCTGTTCTGCTGAACTCTTACTGAGGTGGTGGTAGCATATCCGAATGCTTAAGTATGTCCTTCCTGGGGGAAAGTGGAGCCCTTTCTATTTCGGAATCTCTCAGTTCTTGAATTGAGTGTTTGAGACAAAACAAGACATGCTGATCTCCCCTTCATCACCAAATAATAATAACAATAATAATATGATTTGGAGCTTTGTATAAGAAGCACAATTGTTTTTGCAGGAAAGTTCTGTGTGGACTTTAATTCTTTTCAGTAGGATAATCACAATGATGCTGGAAGGCATACATAGCATTGCACATAGTTCATTTGTGAAGCAAAGAGTAGTCCTGTGGTCATGGAACATGATCCACGTGTTTGGTCCTTCATCATAAACATGGGCATCTTATTTTTAAGGACGTTCTCCGCAGCAAGGAGCCCTCAGTTGAGCCCGTGTTCAACCTCTGTGCTGCACAGTTACACAGCTCCTGAGAGGAGCCAAGCCAAGCAACTGGCCTTGTGCATGTCATAGCCACCTTCTGTCAGCAGAAGGCTATTAGCCAAAATTGTAGAACCCTCATTTTCTCTCAGAAATATGGGGAAAGCACATATCCTATATAATAAAAGCCTAATATGCTAGTGTCCAACCGTTCAACAAGTTCCTATGACATGCACTGACCACCAGGGGACAGACACTCCGACTGGTAGGTTAGCTTGCTGCTGGGGTCCAGCCGATCGGGACTAGGCGAGATGGACCACACACGACCTAGGGCCCTTCTGCAGCCTCTCCCCGGTCCCGATCGTGCACTGGCGGGGTCTCTTGGCCTGGCCTGTGGGGATTGGGCCAAAACTGGCTCTCCAACATCCCTGGAGGGGTGCTGGATTGCAAGAGGGCAGTTCTGAGGTGAAGCACCCCAGAATCAGGCTCCCTTCTCTCTAGTTCCGGGTGTCACCCAAGAACCGCCACTGCCAAGTGACCGCAGCTCAGCAGCTCCTGCATTGAGCATCTGCCCCCTGGCTATGGCCAGTTGCTTAGAGATATCCTATATAATCAAAGTCTACTATGTTAAGTGTCCAGTCATCCGTTCACCTAGTCAAAGTGTAATATGCTAATGATATGCTAAGGCCGCTCAACCGCTTGCTATGACATGCACTGGCCACCAGGGGGCAGACAGTAGACTGGTCGATCATTTGCTACAATGTGCACTGACCACAAGGAGGCAGACACTCCAACAGGTAGGTTAGCTTGCTGCTGGGGTCCGGCCTATCAGGACTGAGTGAAACAGGCCGGACACGCCCTGGAGCCCTCCCAAGGTTTCTCCCTGGCTGGCCAACCTCCTGCGTCCCTCCCATGGCCAGTTGCTTAGAGATATCCTATATAATCAAAGCCTAATATGTTAAGTGTCCAGTCATCCGTTCAACCAATCAAAGTGTAATATGCTAATGATATGCTAAGGCCGCTCAACCGCTTGCTATGACATGCACTGGCCACCAGGGGGCAGACAGTAGACTGGTCGATCATTTGCTACAATGTGCACTGACCACAAGGGGGCAGACACTCCAACAGGTAGGTTAGCTTGCTGCTGGGGTCCGGCCTATCAGGACTGAGTGAAACAGGCCGGACACGCCCTGGAGCCCTCCCAAGGTTTCTCCCTGGCTGGCCAACCTCCTGCGTCCCTCCCTGGCCGGCCAACCTCCTGCGTCCCTCCCTGGCCCTGACTGTGCACTGGCAGAGTCCCTCAGTCTGGCCTGTGCCCTCTCGCAATCTGGGACCCCTCAGGGGTTGTCGGAGAGCCAGTTTGGGCCCAATCCCACTCAACACAGGAGCTGCCCCCTGGTGGTCAGTGTGCTCCCACAGCGCTAAGGATGTCTGTCAGGGAGCAGGCCTATGCCATCATAGGACATCCCCCAAGGACTCCAGAACTGTGAGAGGGCGCAGGCTGGGCTGAGGGACCCGCCCCCCCCTGAGTGCACGAATTTTGTTCACCAGGCCTCTAGTATATATATATGTAATAAAGAGCTAATATGCTAATTAGACTGAACAGCAGAATGACCGTCCAGACAGCCTTCCAGACAACCATCTGGATGACCTTCCAGATGAAGCCCGGGCTGTGAGGGGCTGCGTGGGCCAAGCCCTTTGCATGAATTTCATGCATCGGGCCTCTAGTATATATTTCTTTTGTCTTCCAGTTCATGAACCAGTTCGTATCGCCTATGACAGGCCTCGGGGTCGTCCTGTGTCCAAAAAGAAGGTGAGTGTGACTATGAGTCCTCGTGTGAATTTGTCATAGTCTCAAAGGACACTGAGGCTTGTGATTAAGCTGTACTTATGCTTCAGACTGGGTGTAAATGTACAAAGCCCAACAAATGCCTTTTCTCTTTAGCAGCTTTTTAAAACAATCTATTTAGCTTTGGCCAAAGCACAGAAGGGTAGTCCATTTAACAGGTAGTTGAGGCTTGATATGTGCAATGGAATGGAGAGATGAACAAGTAATGTCTCGGTCCTCAAGAGGTTCAAATTTAGTGGGCTGTAACGTGTTTTTTTGTATTTTATTTTTATTAATCCTCACCCGACATGCTTTAACTAGAAGAAGAGAGAGAGAGAGAGAGAGAGAGAGAGAAACATCAATGTGAGAGAGAAACATTGATCAGTTGCCTTCTATACGTGCCCCGACCAGGGATTGAACCTGCAACTCAGGTATATGCCCTGACCATCCATTCACCCCAGCTGTTCTTTTCTGGGCCTGGTAGAGCATGACAGGCACTCCTTGTCATTTCAGTGGCAGGTTCCATCTCCTCTGTTCTTAGGTCATTTCCTGATGGTAGCTGGCGCCCCCAGGGCTAGCAGCTCCTGGCCATCGTTCCCCTGGCCTTCAGCCTGCACTATCCCTCCTGCACTGCTGTTTGTCCCTTCTTCCTGCCCCAGCCAACATCAAGCTCCTCGCTCCTTTGCATCCCTACTTTAATGCCCTGCAGATGGACTTCGGTCCATCATCCTGTCAAGACCCCCTCACCTCCCGGCTCCCTCAGATTCCGTCAGTATCTCATGCACACGCTTACTCACTCTCTCTCTCTCTCTCTCTGTCTCTCTCTCTCTGCTTCATACCTCAGAGTGTACTTCCCTTCCTGTCACTGAACTCTTAGTGACTGTCTAGGTTGTTCTGTCCCTTCTAGGTTGAGAACTGGGAAGGTGACCATGGCTTGATGGTGAGTGCCTGGGGAGTCAGGGTGTCAGTGCTGGACCCTGCTGGAGACTCTCGCTCTGGGCACTTTGCTGCACCCACATGTTGCACTCTACTCTTTCCTTAGAAACCCAAGGACTTTGACTTCACCCAGCAAAAGCTGACCGACAAGAACCTGGGGTTCCAGATGCTGCAGAAGATGGGCTGGAAGGAAGGCCATGGCCTGGGCTCCTGTGGGAAGGGCATCAGGGAGCCCGTTGGCATGTATGCATCAGGCACTTGGGGCTGGGGAGGGAGGTGAGGTGTTGTGCCTGTGCCTAGAAGAAGAGGCTTCCTTTGGAATTCTGGTCCTAAGTCCTTCACCTACAGCCGAATTCTTGGTTCCCCTCGTGGTGAACATGGTTTAAAGTTGGCAGTGTTTTGGTGTGTGTGGGGGTGGGGAGGTTGTTTTATTTTTTGTTTTTGGCGAAGGGAGTCTTCAGATGAGATGAGAAGCAGACATTTCCATAGGCAGTTGTTCACCCTGCTCCTTGCTGTGCTTGTGCAGGCTTTTTAATGGGCGTCTTGGCCCCTGGCATTTTGGCCACGTTGTCATAAAAGCTGAGTGGTGATTCTAGGTCAGAGGTCCTCCCTCGTGGTGCATGGTTTAAAGTTGGCAGTGTTTTGGTGTGTGTGGGGGTGGGGAGGTTGTTTTATTTTTTGTTTTTGGCGAAGGGAGTCTTCAGATGAGATGAGAAGCAGACATTTCCATAGGCAGTTGTTCACCCTGCGCCTTGCTGTGCTTGTGCAGGCTTTTTAATGGGCGTCTTTT